ACGACGACTACTACTACTACTACTACTACTACTACTACTATTACTACTAGTACCACTACTACTACCACTACCACTACTACTCCTACTACTACTACTACTACTACTACTACAATACGGCTGCTACACTTACCGCTGCTACGACCGTTCCTACTGCACTACAACGGCGACTACTATGACCGCTATTAGTACGGCCACGGCCACTACTGCTACCACTACAACCGCTACTATTACTACTACTGTTGCTTCTACTACCACTACCTAAGCTACGACTACACTTCCTACTGCTACTATTTCTAGTACTGCTACGACCACCACTGCAGCAACTACGACTACTACTACTAACTACTACTACTACTACTACTACTACTACTACTACGACTACTACCATACTTGGTACGGCTACGACCATGACTACTGCTATTACTACTAGTAGTAGTAGTAGTAGTAGTAGTACTACTACTACTACTACTACTACTTCTACTACTCCTACTCCTACTTCTACAATTATTGCACCTACTTCGATGACTACCACAACGGCTAATACACATACTACTACTGCTACTACGACTACTACTACTACTACTACTACTACGACTACTACTACTACTACTACTACTACTACTACTATTTCGGTTACCACAACAAATACTACTACTACGACTACTACTACTCCTTCCTGTACTGCAAATATTCCAGCCGTTACTCCCACTACTACTTCTACTGCTACTACTACTATTAGTATTGCTGCTACAACTGCTATACTCATTATTACGACTACGACTGCTACCACTAAGGCTACGTCGACGTCTCGTCCTACTACTATCACTAAAAGTACTATCACTACTACTTCTACTACTACTACTACTTCTACTACTACTACTACTACTACTACTACTACGACTACTACTACTACTACTACTACTGCTCCTACTACCACTACTACTACGACTATTACTACTGCTGCTACTACGACCACTACTACTACTACTACTACTACTACTACTACTACTACGACAACGACGACGACGACGACGACGACGACGACGAGGACGACTACTAGAACTAGTACTAGTACTAGTACTAGTACTAGTACTAGTACTAGTACTAGTACTACTACTACTACTACTGCTACTACTACTACTACTACTACTACTACTACTCCTACTACTCCTACTACTCCTACTACTACTACTACTACTACTACTACTACTACTACTACTACTACTACTACTACCACAACTACCACTTCAAATACCACTACGGCTTCTACTACGACCAGTTCTGAACACGCTGCTACTCTTATATGCGCCTAAGTGGCATGCCGACACCTCGCTATATCTTATCATGCTGAGGTCCACGAGGGGAGTCATTGATAGGCCAACACTAAAACAATACATTCATTTGCTTACGCCCCATCTGCTGCGTTTTCCTGCGTGCCGTGTTGCTTCTTCCCTCCTGCTCCTGCTTCTGTAGTCCTTCCCCATTCGTCTTCCCACGCCTACGCTGCCTCTTGCCCCCTACACCTCCCTTCCCTGCTCATCTCCTGGCGCCCTCCCTGCAGCAAAGGCTGGATCCTGCAGCGGGATAAGCGCGGTCTTGGTTCCAGGGTCCTCGCCAGGAGATGCGGAGGTACAGCCGGGGCCTTGACCTAAGGAACCCAAAATAAGGAACGAGGCCCCTTTTTTCCATAAGTTAAACCTCGATTCCCGATCGAAACCGTAAGGACAACCTGAAGCAAGCTGCGAAACACTTAAGGAACGCGGAGCCCCTCCCCAACGAAAAGGGTTCCTTCTTCAGGGTCCCGACTGTAGCCAGAGAGAGAGAGGAAGCAGGAGGGAAAGAAGGGAGGAGGTCGGGAGGACGCGGGGGGAGGCGGGGAAGCGGGGGTAGGAGGGAGGAGCGCCAGCACCAGAGGAGTCTGCATGCTCAGCGGGCACGCCGATCAGATGGCCACCTATATAGCCGATCTGTGCCGGGCGGCGGCAGCAAAGCGCAACGAGTGGGGAGCCAGAGTGGCTTCGAACTGCTGGGGGGCAGAGAAAGGCGAGCCATGCTGACGCTTTGCCATATCGTTAGCGATATGATATCTGCAGTAACTGGAAAGCAGTGGTCAGGACAGCGTTGTCGCAGGTGAGATCGCAAGCGGGATGCTGGACGGGGAGCCCCAGGCCGAGGCGGAGGATGGGGCAGTGAGGGAAGATAGCACGCGGACGACTGACGAGATGGACAAGCCGAGGACAATGGAAGCAGTGAGAGATCCGATCGGGATGGGCGCAACCGAGAACACATGTCCATTGATCGTATGTAACGTGCATTCGGTCCGTGGCGCTCCAACCTCCCGAGACGGTCTTAATGCGGCGGGGCCCGCACCAGGAGCTCCCGAACGAGATCCCAGCGCTCACGCATACGTCGGGGGAGGAGGATCCCGAACCACGACCGCAAGCGACGCCCAATTAGGTGCTCCATCCGGTCGGGAACGGCCTGGAGACCACCGTCCGATAGACTCCACCCTGCTACTTAAGCCGTCGACCGTCCAGGGAGGCCTTCAACACGGCGACGCGACCACGGCTCTGAGCATGTGCTAATTGCTGCAAGGTGAGAGGAGAATGAGCGAGAGGGGAGGCCTCACGAAAATGGAAGTGGAGTGGTTGCAGCGGCGATGAAAAGATACCCGGGCATAACATTTCTGCCCGGCTGCTCGTGTGGCGGGAGTAGAGTTGGACAGTCGACGACTTCATACGCCAGCATCGTGCGCACCCGTCTCCACGCACGACGCCGGCGATATGATCGACTGCGCCGCTGATGCGATCGGCCGCACTCTGCAGCTTGCCCAGGAGGTCCCCCGACGTCCTCATAGTGACAGCAGCAGAGCGCCCAGCATTAGCAAGAGCGGAACACGCCAGAGAGCGAGGGGCGGGTGAAAGGGGACCCGGTGGCCAGAGAGCGGAACTCTGAGAGGGCGAAGGAGTGGGCTGGGAGATGAAGGCTCTTGTGCCTCCTCCTCCTCCTCCTCCTCCTCCTCCTCCTCCTCCTCCCAAGAGCTCGCGTTTCAGCAGGGCCCGCGAGTGCCGGTAAAATGGGCCCGAGTACGAGAAGCGGGTGACAATAGCCGAATTAGACAGCCGCGCGCGAGTGCCAGGCGAGCCTTGCAGCAGGCCTGCCTCTTTGCAGCGCTGGGTATGTTTCTGAAATGGGCCGTCCCAAAATAGATCGAGGGTGGCACTTGGACCGATGTACGTGCCGAGGTATTTGGCAGAGTCCCGGACACAGCAAGCGGACCAGGATGGAGCCCAAGAGGCTGGCAACTGCCGAGCACTCTCCATGAGTGCGGGGTTCAGCTGTTCCCGCAGCGGGGCCACGGCATACCTGCTGGGCTGCAGCTGCAGCGCCGCAACATGCTGGTCACGTCGGAGCGGAGGCCCCAGGACTCGGACAGACCTCAGGGGGGCACAGAACGTGCCGATATCGTCAGCACAGGCCCCCACGGTGGCGATCGAAGGGGATGGGGAGGGCTCGAGCGGGAAGGCGGAGGAATGGGTCGAGCGCGAGGGCCCGGGGAGCCCCACAAGGAGGGCAGCCCTGGGCCACTCCAGGGCGGATTGCGATCGAGAGCAGGGTCTCGCCAAGGACCCGGATGCATGCGACCATTTGGGAGGACAAAGCCCTGACTGCTGGCAGACATCCGGGATGTATACGCGTCCACTGGGAGGCCGTCGGGACTGGGGGCAGCGCGTCTAGCACGACGAAAGGCATGTCTCAGCTGCGCCACCGTCGGCATGGGTAGATCCCACTTCGGGTGCTGATCCATGGTGTCGTCGAGGAAGGCCCAAGGAAGATCGGAGACCAGTGCGAGGCCAATGGTTGCGACACACACACACACACACACCCTGGCTCTCTAGCGACGGGACCAGCTGGGCGAATTCCGTGAAGTTGTATGCCATCGAGAGCGAGGCGTTCACGAAAGAGAGCCCATAGCGCAGCAGGTTTCCGAACAACACGTACATGCCGTTGAAGGGCTGCGTCTTGCTAAAGATCCTGGTGCCGTTGACCCCGTTGAGCAGCTTGATGGACCTGTCGTGCATGCCATTGGTGACTGAGGCTTTCATGTTTAGCTGCAAATGTGCCAGGAAGAAGGTGAATGTTTTGATGCTCTGCGCCCTGAAGATGAGTCTGGCCCAACTCCATGCGCAAGATCAATTTCCGTGCCGTCCAAGTGTCCTGCCGCCATACACACCGAGCGATGCTGCGCATGGTCTGACGCTGCGCCTCAATGATGATCTGGCCGACCCCATCCGGGATGTGCGAGAGAGTGTTGCGTTTTGTTTCTGAGACTAGCAGCTCGGGCGCGAGGGTGGACTTGGCGAGCTCGTCCATCAAGTGATTGAGCACGCGGACGTACTGCGTGGATTTGAAGACGTAGGCGGGGATGGCTTGCTCCTCTTCAACAATGCATTGTTTAGACCGTGCACGAACCTGAACGATAGAGTGGTCACTCAGTTGCCAATCCGAATATTCCGCTGCTTCCCAGTGCACCTAGACGTCGCACATCAGCTGCTCGACGTGGTGGGCGGGGAGCGAGATGAAGGCTCTTTCGATGGTCGTGGCACTGGCCGTATCTTTCGCGAAGCGTGTCGGTGAATCACCAACAATCTCGATCATGTTGCCGTTGAGCATCGCGTTCCATTGCAGAGGGTGTTGCCGGTAGCGTTCAGCAGTCCGCACACTTTGGCCAGCAAGCGGTCTCATACACTCCGCAGTTGCGGTAGCATTGAGGTTGAAGTCCCCGACCACGACAAACGTCCGATGTTCATGATCATTATGTGCTCACTGCGATGTTATTTGCCACCTGTCTGCCATACAGGCTACGTCCTCCACCGTGAAGTCGGGGTTGTGAACACTCATCAGCGCAATCGGGCATCCAGAGCGTGGATTAGCAACCCGATGGAGTGAGCACGGTCAGGTATCAAAACTTCATGAGATAACGATGGTCGATCAGCTTCTGCAGTAGCCGCGTTGGCTTGCGACGTGGACGCCGGTATCAGAATTGCCACGCCACGAGAGTTAGCTGCCACGTCGACACAGCCCGAGTAGAAGATTTGGTCGTTGACCTGATACTGCTTGAGGGATCCCAAGAGGAGCTGGTAGGAATCACGGACTTCCTGCAGTGCGATACCCACACGTTGTCGAAGAGAAGGGAGAAGCTGCAGAAATGTGCGATGTCTCTTCCGTCTGCATGTGAACACGAGAGACCGTGCGTTCCAAGATATGACTGTCAGGCCCGACCGAGTGCGCCTCTAGGCGCATAGAGGGGGGAGGGGGAGGAACACGACGACGACGGCGAAGTCTGAAGATGGCGACAAGCATGAAGATCGGGAAGAAGAAGGGGGAGGGGTGGGGACTAAGGACGACAACGAGAATGAAGGACAGAAGGAGCGCGGGGGGGGCAGGGAAAGGCCCCAGACCTCCGACGTCATGAATGTTGCTAACGGAGTGGGCCTTGGACGTCTCAACCCTGCCCTTCAGGGCTCTTTCTTCTCAGCGTCTCGTCCTCTGCAGGCCCTTTGGGCCCGAGACTACCACCCGACGGCCGGCTTTGGTAGACGGCACCCACGGGACCTGGACACACACACACACACAGAGAAGTATGCAAGTCTCTTCCCGAAACCAGCTGCACATGCTGCACAGATTACGTTGAGCCTTCCACATTCGGTGGCAACTCATGGGAGCCTCCCATACCATCTTGTTGGCTCGCGCGAATCGGCGCTAATCGACGCTAGTCGACGCTAACCGACGCTCATCGACGCTAAGCGACGCTAAATCGGCGCTCTCTCATCGACTCCCAGACGCTCATCGACGCTCATCGACGATAAAGACGGGATTAGCAGGGTATGCCAGGCTACCATGATTTGCTACCGAATCCACGGTTGCGAATCCACCCCCGAAGAATGTCCACTGTACCACGCGCGGTGGAAGATATGAACGTAACCGTGGGAGCACGTATGGATGCCTCCGGCATTAGTTGCAACACTCAAAATGATTCATTCGTTTCCGAAGGAATCTTTAGCATTACAACCATCTAATTAACCCCACCAGCCGTGTGGGCTGAGGTGGTCAAACGAATTAGTCCTTCCCTCTTCCAAAAAAGCCCTCTTCCCTTTGGTGAAGGGTGCCCTTACCCTCCCCTCACTGAGGTTTTGTTTGAAGGTCCGCGATGTGTTAGGGGGTCCTCTGTCGCCCAAGGTGGCCCCGAGGGTCTCCCACGCTCCAAGATGGCCTTCAAAACGGCTCAAGATAGCCGAAGATGGTTCAAGATAGCTTCCGACAGAGCTCCAAGAGGCCCAACGAGGGTCAGAAGGCGGTTCCAAGTACTCTCGGGGCCCTCTCAGGACCACCCCAGGAGGCCGAAATCCTTCAAAAGCAGATGTAACAAATGATGTGTGCCTTCTCACCTTCTTCGCCTTCTGGCCCAAGAAAAGCCGAAGAGGCGGCCAAGAGGCTTCCAAACCTGCGCCAAGAGTGCCTAAGATCGGCCCAAGAAAGACCAAAGAGCGGCCCACGGGGCGATGTAGAAGACCCCAGGGGAGGGGGAGAGAGGGGGCGCACATCGGGACCCACCTCTTGTTTGATCGATAGCCTCCCAGATGGCCCAAAGAGGCCCTCGAGGGTCCCCAAGAGGACCTTAAGAGAGCCCCAGGAGGGTCCACGGAGGGCCTCAAGACCCCCCGAAAGAGCCCCAAGAGGACCCCACGATCCACTAAAAGATGCCCAAGAGGGCTCATGGATGCGATTGTGAGGATTCTGTCCTCGTCCTCGTTGTTCTTCTCCTCCTCTCCTCCTCCTCATCCTCCTCGTCCCCGCCCTCATCCTTGTCTTGTTCCTTTTGCTCCTCATCCGCGTCGTCGTGGTATTCGTTGTCGTCTTATTCCTTTTCCTCCTCCTTCTCCTCCTCCTCCTCCTTCCCTCGCCCCCACGCGGGCCCCAGGGATTGCCCGAAGAGGCCATCCAAGGCCACCCGATCGCCCCCATAGATAAGATCTGTTCATCCTGGTTGCCCGCTCTGTTTCACTGCATGTGTCTCTTCGTCTTTTCGTCAGCTCTCACGGGCAGGATTTCTGAATGGGCTGGTGGAGATATTTTTTTGTTTCGCGTCCACCAGCGAAGACGTTAGCAGAGTCAGAACTGGTGGAGATATTTTTGGTCGGCGGCTCCGAGGCAGCGGACAGGGAGCGGTAGGCGCTGGAGATATGCGAAGCGTGAAGAAATCTATAATTCCTCTGGGGGGCGGAGGGGTGGAAGTAAGCGGAGTAAGACAGCCGAAGGGAGCCCTCAAGACAACATCTTCAGAGGCAAGAGCCCCCGCCGTCAGTTCAAATCCCTGAGACTGCCCTGAGACAACCTAACAACGGTATAGAAACCCGCCCAAGAGACATCCGATACGCTCGAAAACGATTGAAACACCGAATGGGGCACAGAGGGGTCTGAAAACTGAGAGGGGGGTCCGAGGACGGGACATCAGTTCCGGGGGCGAGAAGCGATACAGCTGGACCGAAAGAGGGGGGAGGCATTGCTCCCCGCGGCAACTGTCGCTGTCATGTTCCGATCCTCAGATCCAGCAAAAACGCCCGTCGTCATGTCATCTGTCTGCGACGCCCGGAGAGGCTTGAGGGGTCGGAGCAGCTGGGCGGCTTCTCGGGGCGGTCCTGTATGCAGCTGAGCTGGAACTCGCAGTTCCTCGGCGGGGGGGGAGTGCTCGTCAGGCTTCCCCGGCGCTCCCCAACGGGGGAGAGGGGGGCGAGGGGGGAGAGGGGGATGTGCGAGAAGAGGGTGCGAGATGGGGGTAGGGAGGAGGAGGAGGAGGAGGAGGAGGAGGAGGAGGAGGAGGAGGAGGAGGAGGAGGGCGAGGAGGAAGAAGAGGAGGAGGACGAGGAGGAAGAGGAGGAGGAGGAGGAAAATGGGGGTAGGGACGGAGGAGGAGAGGGAGGAAGAGGACTGGGAGAGGGGAGGAAGGGCGAAGCGGCAGAGGGGAGAGACCAAGCCGGGTGCCTCGCGTCATATGTGGCATCCCACCCCACACCACTCCAGCGCCCCATCCCTTACCATTGCGTAGGGCCTCTCTCTATTCGCAGTCGGATGCCGGACAGGAGGACGATCCGCAATGGGTAAGCGATACATCGCATGGCACAGCATTGCTCAGTCAGTCATTGCGTATCATAGCACTACGGTGCAGGGTTATGGCATCATTCAGAAATACATACAATAGCATTGCATGGCATGCCATTGGATAGCCCAACACTGCGTAGTCCAAGGTTGAATAGCTTTGCATTGCAGAGCAAGGCATGTAACCGCATAGTAGCGGCGGAAACACCAGTCGGAAGGACGACCGAAAACACGGAAGTTAGGCCAACACTGCAGAGTGAACACCATCTGAAGGACCGAAATCGCGGAAATGATACCAGCGAGGCAGCGGGAAGACCGAAAACGCGGAAACGAGGCCAGCGCTGCAGCGGGAGCACGATCTCGAAGGACCAGAAGCGCAGAAATGAGGCCAACGCTGCAGCGGGAGCACAATTTTGAAAGACCCGAAGACGATCGGATTGGGAACGCTCACAAGACAAACCGAATGTTGACATCTTGTGGGTGACGAAAAACAATACGCGGAGAGGGCGGGACATCTTCCGGACACAGTCAGGGGAGAGACGAGAAACGCATTCGTAATGTGTAACGTGTAACTGTGGAGTGGGGCCCCAGAGAAGGAGGAGGAGAGAAAAGGAGGAGGCGAGGGGGAGGAGAGGGAGGAGGGGGAGGAGAAGGAGGAGGAGGAGGAGGAGGAAGAGGAGGAGGAGGATGAGAAGGAGGAGGAGAGGAGTACAGGCAGGAGAAGGAAGAGGGTTAAGGACAAAGATCAGAAGAAGCATGCGGCGGAGTAGGAGAAGGGAGGATAATGGCAAGAATGAGGAAGAATACTGCCCCCTCTTACCCTTGCCAGGCCCCTCCCCTCCCCCTCGTCGTTCCTCCCTCGCTCCCTCCTCTTCCAGCGCCCGTCCCCATGCCCTTCCCTCTCCTGGACACGGACACTGCCAAGGCTGGCAGTGCTGACCAGAAACAGCTCGAACGTCCCCCCCTATGCCCACGTGACTGGCTCCAGAAATCCTGAGCCCAAAAACCTCTTCGGACAAGAACGGGAAGCGCCGATTTCGTCCATTGGGCTGGTAAGGGTGATGGCGACGACACGGCGGCGGCTGACGAGGAAGACGGCGTAAATAACAGAGAGGGCAGCAATGCGAGCAGGAGGACAACGAGTAGGAAGACAACCTCAAGGACGAGGAGGCAGAGATGCAGGGAGACGAGTACGAAGAGGAACGAAACGGGGGAGGATGAGGAGGAGGAGGAGGAGGAGGAGGAGGAGGACGGTAAGGAGTCCGAGGAAAAGGACATCGAAGAACGGGGGGAGTCCTTGTGATGTTTCATCCGCCACCGTGCCTTGTGCACGTTGAGGCGTGGAAGAATGCCAAGGGCTGTTTGGCAGGGTTTCTGTATTCGAATAAGCGACCCTACCCCTCAGCCGCGTACCCTGCATGCATCGCACACCCTTCCCGACGCCAAGATCCCTCGTACGAAACCATGGAATATCGTTCCCGAGGCCACGACCCCTTGCAAAACACAACGGGTATGCGCCCCGAGCTTCCGAGGCGGCTCATGCAGGCAACCGAAAGCCCAAGACAGCCCCAAGGCGGCCCAAAATGGCCGCAAGACGGCCCAGGATGCCTCCGAGAGTACCCAAAAGGGCCACCAGAGGGCCTCCAGCATGGCCCGAAGAAGTCCAAATCATTGATGTATCGGTATCTCGTTCGAATGGTGTTCGCATTCTCGCCGTTTCGGGCTTGGGCCAGCTCAAGACGGCCCAGGAAGCCCCCCCACGATGGCCCCAAGACGACCTCAGATGCACCCAAGAGGCTCCTAACTTAGGAGCCTCTTGGGGCCCTCTTAGGCTAAGAGGGCCCCAGAAGTGCCATGATGGTCCAAGAGGCATCCAAGACGGCCCAAAAAAGGCACAAGAAGGCTTCCCGTGGGACCCAAGACGGCCTTGGTCAGCCATTCGGCTGCCCAAGCCAGCCCCACGACGGCCCCCAAACACCCACCATCTGGCCAAGAGGGCCCCAAGACTGCCCAAGAGGGCCCCACGACGGCGTCAGAGGGCCCCACGTCAGCCCCCGACGGCCCCACAGGACTCCCACAGACGGCCCCACGGGAGGCCAGGGCAGCCCCACAGAGTCCGAAGGAGTTCCATGAGAACTGCGCAAAAAAAATGAAGAAGCCCGATGTCACGTGTCACGGCCTTGCTCGCTTCTCCTGCTGCTGCTGCAGCTCCTCCTCCTCCTCCTCCTCCTCCTCCTCCTCCTCCTCATCCTCTGCGTCATCATCATCTTCACCACCACCATCACACGCATCCTCACCATAATCACCATCATCGCCACCACTACAACCACCATCAGCACATCCATCAACGTCATGACCACCACCGCCATCAATATCACCATCGCCATCATCACCATCCCCCAAACCATCAACTATACCATAATCACAATGACCATCACCATCACCATACTTAGCATCACCACCATCAACACCATCACCATCATCAGCATCATCATCGTGATAATCAACCCCATCGTCATAATCAGCATCAGCACCATCATCAGCATCATCAGCACCATCATACGCATACCCAACATCATCATCGTCGTCGCGTCTACCAACATCACCATCAAACTCACCATCGACATCATCACCACCATCACCATCATAACACTCATCACCATCCTCATCATAATCACCATCATCATCGAACATATCATCATTCACATATTCATCAAAACCACTATAGTCGGCATCAGATTCATTACCGTCATCAACCTCGTCAGCATCATCATAATCATCACCATCACCGTCATCATCATCATCAGCACCATCATCACCACCACCATCATCACCGCCAGCATCATGATCATTTACATGTCCATCACGAGCAGCATTATCATCGTCATTACCATCAACGTCATCACCTTCATCATCAGTATCATCAACATCAACAGCATCACTACCATCATCCGCATTACAATAGTCATAGTCATAATCATCATCATCATCATCATCATCATCGTCGTCGTCAGCAGCATCATAATCATCATCAGCATCGTCATCATCACATTATTTATCGTTATCGCTGTCGTCGTCGGCATCGTCATCATCATCACCGTCACCATCACCCTTAGCAGCATCAGCATCAACATAATTAGCATCGTCATCGGGTTATCATCACCATCCCCATCAATGTCATCATTGCTCTCCCAACCCTGGAGAGACACGAGGCGCCACACGCGACGGCCTCCCGAGCCCCCTCGAGCCATCGCCACCCAGGATGCTGGGCTGGCACGGTGGCGGGACTTGCCCGGAGCAGCTGGATAATGACATCTCGCTTTTGCTGCCTCCCCCTCAGAAACAAGAAGAAGAAGAAGACAAACCACATCAACATAAACTTTTGGCGCTGCGCGCGGATCTCTTGGATTCGCGCTGGACCCCCCTCCCTGGCGCGCGGAGCGCGCCAGGGGCGGCGCAGGATGCGCCGCCTGGGGTGCCCAGGCGCGGAGCCGAGAAACCCGCGCGGAGCGCCAAAGTTTCTGCTTCTGTGGTGTATATTGTTCGATTCCGCCGACCTTCTGTCGGCGACCGCCGGCGGACCCGCCACCACTCTGCTTCCACCGCTGGCGACACGCGCCGAAGGCGAAAGCCTCTTCTGAGTTCTGGAACGCCCCATGCATTGCACATCAATGACCCCCCGACCGGCCCCTTGCGAATTCATGGTATGCCCGCCATGGCCGACTGCCCGTCTCTGCTATGGACGTCACGGGAGCCAATGGTCGCTCATGACTGTCCGCGGCCGCCGGTATTTAGACACGCATGCAAAGAACTCAGTCAAGGTGGTACCATGAGGAGCGCCACGTGAGGAACGAAGGCACTTTTTTGGCCAAGGCTCGCCGCGGAATAGGGCCCCCAGTCTCAAGAACGGCCCAGCCGAGCACGTCTTCACTGTAGCACTCCGGGTCACACCTGCGATGAAAGCTGAAACACGCATCAGCGCTTGGACCCCACACACTTCAAGCAAACCGACAGGGCAACCGAGACTAGACTTGATGGGAGAGATCCGATGGGCCACCACGGACCCCTCTGTTATTTTTCTCGGACGCGGCGGACGCGCGAGCCAGTCGGAGCCAGCGCTGGCACCTTTGCGGGCCCCGGAAACGGCAGGGCCGTCTTTTCACCGTTTCCAAAAACATGTCCCTTGAAAATGGAAACGGCAAAAAAACAACGACCGGAAACGGCAAAAAGACGGCTCCAGGATTGGAACCGGAGCCAGAGCCGGTCAAACAACGGCGACGGAATCGGTAAAAAAACTGCGTCGGAACGGGCGAAAAAACGGCAAAACGGAACCGGTAACAAAAACGGCCCTGTCGTTTCCAGGGCCAACTAAGCACACGGGAGCCCGATCTGCGGGGAGAGCAGGGGCCGCGACGGAAGGAAGCCGGGCGGCTGCGTCGCGAGAGCACAGGCCGCCTCGGAAGCGGAGTGTGCTGCGCCCTCGGGCTGCATGGAGTTCTGCACAGGTCGGCACCGCCGCCCAAACCCCTGGAGGAGGAAGGGAGGAGGATGGGGATGAGGAGGATGGGGAGGAGGAGGGAGGAGGAAGAAGGGAGGAGGAGGAGGAGGAGGATCAGGAGGGCCTTCCCTCCCGCTCTCCCGCCTCCCCGCGGGGCTTCGTGGCCTTGTTTGGCGTGCTCGGCCGCCCTCCCCCTCGGAGGCGACGACAGGGGCGAACAGCCAAGGCTCGGGCGTTACACGCAGGCACAACCAGGGCAAGCCTCCTTGGGCGGGGGCCGTGTGAGCCACCACGCAGCCCAAACTACGGGGGGCAGCCAGAGCTGGGACCGCGTGGCTCGGGGCCCTCTGTGCTGCCACGCCGCCCGATGCAAAAGGAAGGCCGGGACCATGTTGAATTGGCGCCATGGGCCACTACAGAGCGCAGCTCAACACACAACGGCAAGGAAGGCTGGGAAGCTGTACAAGAGCCCGGGCTGCGCTACGGAACCCAACTCCCAGGGTGACTCTAGATCAAGGCCAGGACGCTGTGGCAAGGACCCACCAAGCCACCACGACATCCCCACCCACACACACACATGCACAACTAACACGCAGGTCCCATGGGAATGACCGTGCGGGCTACCACGGGTCACCACGGCTCCCCCACAGAACGGGGGCCTCTGCGAGCAGGGCTCTGCGGGCGGGACCCTGTGGATCACCACGAAGCAACACACACAAACACTCACACACACACACACACACACACACACACACACACGTGGACAACTCCAAGGCGTAGACCGTGGCGGTGGGATCTGATGGGCCACCGAGAGCCCCAGACTCCATGCTGTTGGACAACCACTGGGAAATTCACCATGCTTGATAAATTCCTTTCGGAAGAGGGCAGGGACCCAGACGCGCAAGCAGCGAACCCTCCAAGACCGACCATACCACCCGCATTCACGGTTTTGTGCCGTGGGTTGCTTCGTTTTGCGGGTCCCGCGGCTCCAAAACGGCTTCCAAGAGCACCAAATCAGGAGACCGACCGTCCTGATGTTTGCAGGTCGAAACCGAGGCTCGGCAGAAGGAGAGCGAGCCCGACAGGGCTGCTGGGGGCGAGTACGGCTTCTCCAGAAGGCTTGTGCTGAGGCGCAGCTGCTGCAAGACCGCCCGAGGCCCGAACACAGCCATCGTCAGACACATCCCAGGTTGGCGCCGTGACGACCCTGGCGCTGGTGTCTGAAAACAACTCGTAAAAAGCTATCAGCATCAACGTTTGGCGCTCCGCGCGGATGTCGATCCGCGCTGCACCGCCCTGCCAGGCGCGCGGAGCGCGCCAGGGGCGGCGCCGGAGCGCGCCGCCAGGAGGGCCCCAGCGCGGATCCAAGAGGTCCGTGCGAAGTGCCACAAATTTATATTATGGCGTTCATCCTTGGAACGATCGGCGGTGAAACCGGCGAAGTGCCAAAAATTGATCCTTGGACATCCTGCGAGGTCATGGCGCCCAAATCCGGCGAAATTCGTTATCCTGCATGTATGTCATGGCGTCCATCCTTGGAGATCCGGCGAAGTGCCCAACATTGATCTTCGAGGACACCACGTGGATCGTCCAGCCTTGGACTGGCCATCGCTCGGACGTCCATTCCCTGTGCTTTTTTGTTGGTTTCGTGCGTGGCTTTTTCGCGAGATGATCAAGGATGCTCCTCGATGGTCCTCGCCGAAGGAAAAATGCGCACGTCCGAGCGATGCCAAGTAAACTGCTGGCGTCCAGGGGCGGCGCCAGAGGCGCCGCTGGGGGGGGGGGTCCAGCGCGGATCAAAGAAATCCGCACGAAGCGCTGCTTCTTCCCTATTTCCCGGGGGATCGACGAATACTTCTGCCTGTGTGCCTTGTCCTCTCCCTTAGTCACCCATGTTCCCTGGAGGTTCGTCTTTCCCCGCCTTGGATGCTCCTCGATGGTCCTCGCCGAAGGAAAAATGCACACGTCCGAGCGATGCCAAGGCCTCGGAGCGACGGGCGGTTTTTCCCCGCGGCCTGGCGGCGCTCCGCTCTTCGCAGCGCCCGCGCGGGGGCCTCCGCCGCGCCCCACGCGGCGGCGCGCGCCTGCCGCGGGCGCCGGCGCCTCCGGGGGTGGCACCTCCTCTGGTGAAGGGGCCCCAGGGCACGCAAATGAATGCACACAAATAAACATACTAGCCCCAAGACCGTCCAAGAAGCCTCCAAGACGTCCCAGGCCCCCTCCAAGAGACCCCCAGGAAGCCCCAAGAGGCCCCGAGGTTCCAAGCGGCCCCTGAGAGCTTCCCAAGAGGCCCACAAACTGCCCCCAAGAGGCCCCCAAGAGCGCTCGTCGTCGTCGTCGTCGTCGTCGTCGTCGCCATTCAGGGTCGGCGGCACCGGCCGTAAGGCCTTCGCAATAAATGCACACAAATGAAACTACTCCGCATAGTTCCCCATAATTTCGGGGTTTCTGTCTCCCCCCCCACTTCCCATAGTTTCCCGTCTTTTCCTGGGAATCGACGATTGATCGTGTCTGTGTGTGTTTTTCCCCCTCCTGATCTGGGCGGGCTCGGTGGCAACTCTCGCGGCGGCCTCCCGCGCCACCCCGCTGGCTCCGGCGAGCCGGCGCGGAGGCGGCGCGGCATCGACGCCACTGGACGCCGATGCGACGCCACTGCGAGGCCCAAGTTAGGGAGCCCACAAAGGACGTACGCGCCCAGCTATGTACATGAGCACGGCCCCTCGATCCGCGAGACTGGCCACGTCATACGAACATGTGCGCAATGCGTACTCTCGAAACCAGCGTGGATTCATGTACATGTACGTCCTTCTTTCGCTCCTGACAAGTCGGCGCCACCTCATCGGCTCCTGGTCGCCCATCGGCGCTGCAGGCGGAACTGAGAGGGTGCACCAGGCCCCCATGACTGAAGGGGCCCTGGGACACACAAGTCAGTACACACAAATAAGAAGATTCCCCATGTGTTCCCATATTTCCTGGGTTTCTGACTTCCCCCCCCACTTCCCATATTTTCCCATATTTTCGGGGGAATCGAGGATTAATTGTGTCTGTGCGTTTCTTTTCCTCCTGAATGATTCGCTACCGAAGGCGGGGATGGGTGCCGCGAAGCTCGCGGCAGACAGCGCCCATGCCCATCTGGGAGGGGTGCGTCGGCGAGCGGGGCCGAGGCTGCGCCTGTGGGCGTGGGGGCTGGCCTGGCCTGTCTTGGCGGGAGGCCAAGCGAGGCAACGCCAGCTCTCTCCCGCCTGGCCCCCATCCGCTCCGCATCGATCGCCTGTCCGCTCCTGGGGGCCATCCTGGCCCGTTCTTCGAGGCGGGTCCAGCAGTGGCGACGAGAAGCCCCTACGGGGCAGTTTTTAACACATCGGATTGTTTAACATATAGGATTTGTAATGCATGATATAGTGAGAAACTTATGCATGAACTCATCGTTGTGTTTAATACTAGACCCCTGCATGTTTAATACGTGATCCGCACGCGGAACATGTATTAAAAACGGCACTTTCATTCGGAGGCCCCAAAAAAGAAACAGAAAATCGCCAGGGATAGCCGCCAGCTTGCGCGACTGCCCCTCCTCGCCGATGGCCCGGAGGAAACTCCGAGTCATCCACAGGAGGCCGCCGAGGACCTCTGAATCCCCCCGTCCGGAAACACATGAGCAAATGGGCCCACCTCCCAGGCGACCCCGAATGTCTCAATCTCCTCTGGATGTTCGTCTTCCCATCAAGGACCAGAAGAATATGAAGAGACGGCATAAACATAAACTGTTGGCGCCCACGGGCGCCGCCGCTCGGGGGGGGGGTCCAGCGCGGATCAAAGAAATCCGCTCGGAGCGCCACAAGCTTATGCTCACAGCATTTTGTTTCCTCTTAGACGCTTCCCCTATTTCCCTGGGGATCGACGAATACTTCTGCCCGTGTGCCCTGTCCCCTCCCATAGTTCCCCCCATTTTCCCCGGATGTGTTCGTCTTTCCCCCGCCCTCCCGAACTTTCCAAAATCTTCCGGGGAATCGACGATTATTTCTGCCTGTGTGCCTTGTCCTCTCCCATAGTTCCCCCTGTTCCCTGGATGTGTTCGTCTTTCCCCGCCCTCCCGAACTTCCCAACATTTTCCAGGGAATCGACAATTATTTCTGCCTGTGTGCCCTGTCCCCTCCCATAGTTCCCCATGTTCCCTGGATGTGTTCGTCTTTCCCCGCCTTCCCGAGCTTTCCAACATTTTCCGGGGAATCGACGATTATTTCTGCCTGTGTGCCTTGTCCCCTCCCATAGTTCCCCATGTTCCCTGGATGCTCGTCTTTCCCCGCCCTCCCGAACTTTCCAAACTTTTTCCAGGGAATCGAAGATGAAGAGGCCCTGGGACACACAAATAAATACACACCAATCAGAGGATTCCCCATATTTTCGCATATTTTTGAGCTTTTTGTCTTCCCCCCCACTTCCCATATTTTTGTATTTTTTCCTGTGGGTCGACGATGAATTGTGTCTGTGTGTTTTTTTCCCTCCTGAGATTCGTCGTGCCCGTGTGCCTCCTCCCCTCCTGTCGGGTCGGGCGAAAGGGGGGGATAGCAAAGGGGGGGTTTGAGAATCAGCTCACGTAGCTGATTCTCCCGGCGCCTCCTGGCGCCAGAGGCGCCCATGTATCGAGGAACGGGCCCCTCGGTGGGGCCGACACCAGCTGCATGCAGCAGATTTCGTAACCCCCCCTTTCCCAATCCCCCCTTTTCGCCTGGCCCGACCCTCCTGGGGCCCACCCCCTGGCGGCGCCTCTCGGCCTCGTGCAGGTCGGTCGGCGACGCGGCGCCGAGGATCCCGCCCACCTTGCACCTCGCGAAGGCGCGGGCGAACCTTCGCGCGCCGCCGCGGCCGGCGCGCGCCCCTCCGCCTCGCCCTCCCTGCGACGAAGCCTGCTCGTCCTCCCCGATCCTCCTCCTCCTCGATCCTCCTCCTCATCCCCCTCGATCCTCCTCCTCCTCCTCCTCCTCCTCCTCCTCCTCCTCAAGGCGCCTCCTCGTCCTCGATCCTCGATCCTCCTCGATCCTCGATCCTCGATCCTCGTGCGGGATGACGATTAACTAAAAAAATGGGGGGGAACGATTTAAAAAATAGTTTTCTGCGATTTCTGCAACAGTTTTCTGACTGGAGGAGAACGATTAAACAAATAGTTTTCCAGCCCGCGGTCGGTTTTATCTAATCTTTATCCTGGGCGCCACCGCGTGAACACGACCCCCGGTCATTTATAAATCGTCATCCTCCATTACTCCCGCACCAATTTGTCGGCTCTTGCGCATCGACGCTGATCGACGCTGAATCGACGCTGATCGACGCTGCATCGACGCTAGCCGACGCTGAGTCGGCGCTATCTCGTCGACTCTAGACGCTAATCGACTCCAAAGCCGAAATTAAGAGGGAATACCAGGCTCCCTACGACGATGCCAGGACGAGAACAAATCAACAAATCTGGGCGAAGATATTTCGACATCTGAGAACCGGCGGGATTGAAGGATGTCTCGGGCGCCGCGGCCTTCTCAGAGCGTTCGGGAACGCCCTGGAACGGATTGATCCTCGTCCGAACCCCGTCGGACTGAGGCCCCAGGCACGTGGCACCCCGGCCTACATCGATGCGGCCGGTCGGTCGCCCTGTCGAGCCTCTGGAGGAGGCCAGTTCCGGGCCCCAGAACAAACAAGAGACGGCTCGGGATGGAAAGTTGGCCCTGGGGAGATGGTGTTGCATCTTCGGGGGACTTTGACTGACCCGTCGCGCCTCTGTCCGCGAATAGTCCGTGTCAACATCCACGTCGGACTTGTCGAATCCGCGCCGGGTCCACGTCGGATCCACACCAAATCCGCGTCGAGTCCGCATCGAGCCCGCGTCGGGCACAAGAGCAAGCAAGCAAAGGCCATGCATCGGAAAGGACGCGTGGGCAGACTCGAAGATGCACCGTGGGCACCCGGGTGGAAAAAATCGTATGTCGAACATTCCGGCTGTAAGAGGAGGAGGAGAAGAAGGAGAGATAACGCAGAGGGGAGACAACATTGAAATCATCAACTTGCGTGTGCTCAGAAGAAACTGATTGCGTCATCTTGTGCACTTCAGCTGCCGAGTGTTGCCAGGCCGACCACGACGACGACGAACTGCCTTTTTTCGGGCGCACCGTTTTCTGGACATCCACTTATTCTGACCAGCGAGTATTTTCCACTTGCAGCAATTTTGCAGTAGAGCTTCCGTTGCCTGTTAAGTAGAAAGTCGCACATCGGTCTCTCCGGTTGGTCAAACACGCGACTGGGGGACGGACGAGGTCCCCCGAAGATGTTTCGCAGAGTGAAAGGGGTCAAACAACAACAGGGCCCTCGCATCGAATCGGGCTTCTACTGACATGGGTCAATCCGAGCCCCAGTCAGCCAGGCATCGCAAGATCCTGCAAAGTCCTGCACGAGCTTGCGTGATCCTGCACCCATGACAAGGTCAATGCGCCCCTGGCTCTGCAGGATCCTTCATGATCTGGCGCTGTGACTGACCCCCGTTTGCAGTGACCCCCGTCTCTTGAGCCCCAAAACGGGGAAGGGTCGAGAAGGCAGGGGTCCACGAATCGAACAAAGACGCACGGGGCCCGGCCATCCCGGTCCCCCGCTCCCTGGCCGTCGCTGGGATGTCCTTTCCCCGATATTTAGATGTTGTGCGTGTTTTTTTGCTGTTCTGCAAGATTGGGGAAAACAAAAATGTGCCGATACCGCTACTCCCCGGACCTCTCCCGGGGTGCGTTCTGACCAAAATTGCGAGGCGAACCCAGCGGTGGCAATTAGGGCTTCCAAGGAAACCAAAAAGAAGGGAAAGCGAGGGAAGGGTAGCGGTATGGGCACCACTTCGTCCTCCAAAAACTGTTCCTCGATGATGTTCGCCGGAAAAAAAACTGCCCGAGTGGCGCCAAGCCCGTGGGCAAAGGTCGGGCAAGTCCTCCTACAGGCGAATTTTGAAGGAAAACTGTAACTTGCCAAACCAAGGAACTATCAAACCTAGCCTACACTTGTCAAGCAAAATCGCCCCCGCACTTTTTATAGTCAGTCGCTCATGAATAGCACGGCGACGACAGCACAAATCAAGAAATCGGTTTAGGCCTCTTGAATTATGATTTCATGATTTTGATCGAAAACGTCGTCTATCGAAACTGAGCTGTGCTATGTTACACGCGTTCCGCGCGAATCAGCTCGACTTTGTCGGCGAAGGTAGCCCCGGCGGCGAGGGAGGGCCCCCCCCCCCTGACGCGCGCCGCGCGAGTCACGTGCTACGCGAGCCGTTCAGCCGAGACCACGTAAGAAGGGGGGTGGGGGGAGGGAGTGGGGAGGTGGTGGGGGGAGACAAGGGAGGAGGGGGGAGGTGGAGGAGGAGGAGGAGGAGGAGGAGGAGGAGGAGGAGGAGGGCGAGGAGGAGGAGGAGGAGGAGGAGGAGGAGGAGGAGGAGGAGAAGGAAGAGGAGGAGGAGGGGGAGGAGGAGGAGGAGGAGGAGGAGGAGGAGGAGTCTGTCTGTCTGTCTGCCTTACCCACTCGAGCTCCACACATCTGAAAACTACACTCTGCATGCTCTGGGCCTCGGCTCTTTCGCCTGAACTCTTACTTTGGAGGTGCTCACGCTCCCGAGAGACCCAGCAAACATTTAAGACACTGCCAAGCTGGGCCTCCGGGAGCGGTGGAACGGCACCCAACGCTTCGCTGGTATGCCCCACGCGGGGCGGGCATTCAGGCTGGGAAGCAATGCGCCCCTCAGCTAGCCCAAGCACTGTGGGGACACAGGGGCCACTCCGAACATGCAAGGGCACAGCTGAGAGATGCACCGCGTCGCAACCCATTTCAAGCTACTTCTCCGTCTCAGCAAGACGCACTGGCTTGGGGCCCGACCTGGCGCAGTGTTGAAACCAGACACCCGAAACAACAAAACTGATACAAAACTCGACCGTCTCTACTCCGCCTCCTCCTGTCAGCTCAAATGACGCGCGCAGCGCCTTGTCCTTGTGCTGCACCTCGGCACCCCCGTCCTCGAGCGTGGCCCACTACTCCTTCTGCAGCTCGAGAATTGGGCTCTGGATCAGCATAGACCCCAATACTTTGACTGTGATCCGACCGCTGCCGCTGTCCTGAGTGTTCGACGTGCCGCACTCCTTGTTCCGCATGCTGGCCATGGGTATGTCCCCAATCATCATTGTCCCCAATCATCATTCTCTCTGGGAGGTGGCGAACTAAGTCTTGCGCCAGCCCCTGCCTCACGAAAGCGCTCAGAAGTACGGCAAAACTCTGCAACGCTAGCCCGTGAGCGTTCGCCTTTCCCTCCCCCTGGTACTCTTGATTGGCCACCTTCAACAGCATGATCTTCTCGTCGTCGCTGGGGGCGTAGAATACTAGACCTGCTCCGAAAACCAGCGTCCTGATGCGAGCTTCCAATAGCAATTTGGCGTTAACGGGGACTCGTCTTTCTTGCCCTCCTTGGACGTGTCGTCGCGCTGTGCCCTCCCGCCCACCGCCGCGTTGCGTTGAGAGCCGAAGGAAGTAGCCAATCTGCCAGCCTGTTCAGCTTCACGGTCCAGGTAATCCAACCTCCAACTGATGTGAGTGTAGGTGTGACAGCCGATGCTCGAGAAGCAGATGTCTACGGTGGTTATCGAGATGGAGCCCAACATATTCGCAGCAGATACCTCGAAGCATAATGAAGCAGTGTGCCATGGCCCCTCCTTCGTCCAGTTGAACTCCTCCTTCCCCTCGAATAAGATCTCCCCAGCTCCATAGCTATCACCATCGCCGAAACAACTCGATCGTTTGGACGTCGTACAGTTGCTCGCACCATGGAGTCGCTCTCTCGTCCTCGCTCGTACACATGTCGATTTCGGTTCGTTCATCGCCCCGTGAATGCCCGAAAACAACCAGGAACTGAGTGAATCGCACGTGCCTGTTAAGACAATGCCAACTTGACTCGCTGGTTGTCTTGACATCGAAGCTGTCTGCCGCGTCATCTACATAGAGCGTGAGAGATGCTTGCGCCCACTCCAGTAACCAGGGACACTGAAAACTGCACTGCTTGTAGTTCGATAAACCATTCCCATCTGCCATGGGTATGCTCCCACGAAAAGCCTCACCGTAGCTGGCTCAACAGGAAACGTGAAGCACGCCAATGTTTCTCGAAACTTCATGATCAGCCAATCTTCTTCACAAGAGATAATGTCAACCTCCTTCGCCAGCGTGCGCACTAGCATGATCAAACGTTCGCCGTCGACCCCTTCCTTCTCATTGCCTTTGCAAATCTTGCACGCACCTGATAAGGTCCAAGATAAAGGTAGCTTTCCATTCTCACGGATCAGGCACCAAATGATACAGTAGACGTGGGCCGCGGTTATCTTCTCCAGCTCCGTCTCGCATCCTACCCCGTAGTTGCATTGCTGCCTCCACATCCCAACCAAATTTGGAAACATTGCCACTCGACGAAATTCTGCACAGATGCTCTCCGCTCGCCATAACCGCCAAAACTCATGTTTGAATGCGTCCACGTCCTCTTGCATCTCATCGGCCGTCACTGCGTTGGATTGTTCGGGCAGGTCATGCACCATCTGAGGCATGGCGTCGTAGTTGACAGCCTGCGCTGAAGCACCACCCTGCACACCCTCTTGATGCATGCGCGTAGTCCATTCTGATACGGTGCCACTCGTGCGTAGCTGTCGATAGCTGCGTCGCCGTAGTCCCCGTCCCTTTGCTGCCGTAAACGCGCCATGCGATACCCTTCGTGGAAACCTCGTTGTGTTCGTGCAAAGGCACGTACCCTATCCTCTTCCACCCGTCGCCAGTGTCTCTGCTTGCTCTGTCGTAGC